CGGTGGCCAGTCTTATTGCTAGTATGTTAGTGTTAATTGCAAGAAAAATGGAGATATGTCTATGCATGGTTACATGAGGAACTTTGCAAGATGCTCATGTTTCTTGTATTCTAAAAATGATTTAAAGTATCTTTTTAATGCTTGGTTTTGGAAGTCTTTGGTAAAATGTTTTTTTTCTATCCATTTGAATTACAAGTGAAGTATGATCCAGCCTCTGAATTCATTCCCTAATAATTCACAATATTCCTAATTTTGGAAATGCTCTGGAAGACCAAAGTGAAAGGCGATACTTATATATCAGAAACTGTGTTTTGGCTCGTTTTTTGGTTCTTCAGTTTTATAATATTTACAAAATATAAAACTGAATTGGTTCTACAATAATGTACTGGGCAGATAATAGCCATTGCATAAGTCCATATAGGTTGATTGGAGGCTTTTAAGTAGTTGCGACAGTCAGCATTCTTGCCTTTCTGTACTGGGGTCTTTGAAATCTTAGTGTATATGCATGCAGAGACATCAGCTTGTAAGCAGGTAGTTTATTGTGTGCTGTAAAGTGCATACTTTGCTGCTACTGTATAGGGAACATACATGTGATTGTACAAGTTTTTTTATTTTGAAAAACAGTATAAACTGATTTTAAAAAATACATTTTTTTGTAACCGTATTAGTATAGTGCATATAAACTGAATAAAACAATTGATAATACTCGTGAGCCAAAATGTGATACTCCCCTAGTGTAATATATAAATGAACTAAATTATAAATCTTAATTATGGTGCATCAACACTTTACACAATACTCATTATCTGTGCAAAACATACACTATATACAAAATTATATATATCTATAGATACATATATGTGCCGCGCTCCATAAATCTATAAAAACTCATATGCAAGTGATTATAAAAATGATAACGTGAACAAAATTAATGTGCTTAAGAACAGTGCAACATATAGTGCATTTTAAAATAATATTAATCCAGCACTCAAAACACTTCCTAAATAGTCCTCTTTGTGCTTGTATAATTTTTTCAGTGACAAATTCGGTGTATAGTGCCACACTTCCCGTGCTCTATATATAGGTGTGCGTTCACCTCCTTAATTAGCCAGACAAAGTGGCTAAAAACACTTTTTGTCCTATCAGGACAGTGTGGGAATCTTCATATTATGTGCGTATTTCCATCCATATTCTGCCACCAGAGGTCTCCCTCCTTCCACACTTTAGCCTCAATGGGTGGTTTAGAGATGTTAAAGATGGTATTTCCTCCTCCCAGTACACCATGTAAGAAAGAGCCAAGATAGTGCCTTATCCTTCAGCTCTGCTTTACTGTGTTGCCCTGCCTGGCACCACACAGTTTACACAAAAAAAGCCCTGGCTTCATCCTCTACCACTTTTTCAAAACAGGTGCATCACATATTCTAGAGTCTCAGCAGCTAACAGAAGCATCCCTTCTGAAAACCCACCTCTTCAGGGAAGCCCTACCCCACCCCCTGCTAACTTGCCGACCTCCTCCACTCTTCCTACCACTCCACCCCCCATAGCTTTCTCCTCCTGTGCCATCATCCCCTCCTCCTAGATTGTAAGCTCAAAAGAGCAGGGCCCTCAATCCCCTCATGTTTTTTGCATTGTATTGTATTGTTATTGTTCTGTCCCCCATTCTAATGTACAGCGCTGAGCGAACTTTTGGCGCTTTATAAATACTCTATAATAATAATAATAATTTGCAACTTCATTGATGAGAAAATTCAAAGAAGCAGGATGGAATATGTTTGGAGCACATTTCTAACAGTTCATGTAGTGTTTTTTTTTTTTTTTTTTTTTTTTTTTTTTTGAGAAGTGACATTCATTCCAAAACTAAATGTCAAAAGCAAACAAAGTTTTAAAGTGCCTTTTATTTGCCTTTTACTTTTAGCTAGTATTTTTTTTAAATAACATGCTTCCTGTCTCCTAGTGGCTAGGTTTACTTCTCCTCTATCTTTGGAGGGAGTCATAATTGTCACAATGGGCTGGACTTGAAATATGTCTGCCTTTGATATTCCATGGGAGCTGGAGGGATAATAATTTGCTCAATAACAAGATAGACTTCTGCTTTCACTTCACCTCAAAGGAGGTGACAAGGACATTGTCTTTCTGGCAAGTTCAACAGATATTTTCTGTACTTGCTAATAATGCTGTTAGCCTGAAAACTAAGCTAAGCACCACATCTGAAGACTGGTAAGCTGCAGTATGACGTTTTTATTTTTTTGGTTTAGTTCTATTTTAAGACACCTGTAAGTGAGTAGGATCATATACATGGCCAGGTGGAGCTTTAGTAGGATGCGTAGTCTGCACAAATTGCATAGGCTATGTTTTTATTCTGCAGAATTTGACAACTCTCTGAGCTTTACTTGAGATAATTGGTCGATACAGTGACATCTTTATGACAAGTAACAAGCATGTACACATTTTGGAACCAATCTGTATTGCACTTTCATCTGTATACTAAAGTTAACTGGTAAAGCAAGATTTGGTAGAGCCAGCTGTTGCAGATCTCTCTTCTCATTGTTGATTCGAGATTTCATAGTGTGTGGGTAGTCTAAATTTTTTCTTACTAGAGTAAATAGGTGTCAGATGTTCGCCACCTGATCCATTTGGCTATGGTCAGATCAGTAAACCTTTTTATAGTTGTGAACAATTCCCTATAAGGACGAACATGTATGCTGTGGTAGACCAATTTATTTAAATAACAGAAATTTCTGTCGAGGGACAGATTATAATATAGCAAATTAAAGCCGGCACTCCAGTGTATACTGTGCACGCTTGTGTTTATTGGTGGGTAACAGATGACAGCCACAAATGTCAACGCGTTTCAGCCAAATTGGTCTTATTCGACCATCTTGGCTGAAACGCATTGACCTTTTGCAGAGTATACACGAGTTCCGATTCTTGCTGTTTATACAGATCGTGTGGACGAGGCCATTTTTCAGGTTTCAGCGCTCTCACACTTTGAATAACAATTGCGCGGGTCATACAACATTGTACCCAAACTAAAATTTTATCATTTTCTTCACACAACTAGAGCTTTCTTTTGGTGGTATTTATTCACCACTGGGGTTTTTATTTTTTTTGCTAAATTAACAAAAAAGGACCGTAAATTTTGAAAAAAAAACAAGTTTTTCTTTGTTTCTGTTATAATAGTTTGCACATAAATAATTGTTCTTCAGAATTTAGGCCAAAATGTATTCTACTACATGTCTTTGGTGAAAATAACCCAAATTAGGATGTATTTTTTAGTTTGTAGGAAAGTTATAGAGTTCACAAACTATGGGATTTATCTGAATATTGGTCAATCCTGAAGTACTGACAGCCAATCTAATTTCTTGAGGTCCAAGAATGTCAGAACAGTACAGATATCCTCCAAATGACCCCTTTTTGCAAAGTAGACCGTCCGACTTATTTCATAACAGGCATGGAGAGTTTTTGACTGGTGACAGTATGAAAAAAAAAAAAAAATTTTTTTTTTTACATTTTTTTATTTAAGATTTTTTTTCCCATATTTCAGTATGACCAAAGTAGTACAATGTTACCATAGTAACATTGTACTACTTTGGGGAAGTGATCAGTATTTTTTTTTTTTTTTGTATACACAATTTGCCTCAATCACATCGATTCATTCAGGGTTTTTTTTTTTTGTTGTGCTTAGCTGTGATTTCGCCATGGCTAATCACATGACACAGCTGGGCTGTGATTGGCCCAGCTTGTGCATGTGCTCGCTGTGACCATTCACAGCTAGACACACTAGTATACAATGGATGACATGAATGAAGCCATCCATTGTATACAACTGTCATGTGACCTGCTGTGATTGGTCACAGCAGGTCACATGGTACTGGCAAAGGGGCTGGTACTCAGATCTGTCATCGGCCGTGTTCGAGGTACATGGACGGTGACAGATCGCGCCGCTGTGTGGCTCTGCAGGCGCGCAAACTGCGCATGCCCGAAAGAACGCCATGCGGCGTCCACCCGGAAAGGTGAGAGTTTTTGCCTGCCGCCATTCGGCCATAGACCGGGCGGCAAGTGGTTAAACCTGAACATATACAGTATTTCCATAAACTTTATACTGATCATTTGCTGGGGAAGACATCTGCTATCTTTCTTCCCCTGCGTTTCTCCAGTAAAGTTGCAAGTAGTTTTAGAAATCTATCTCGCTTAGTTCTTGGGTGAACTGACTTTTAATGCTGCCATTTACTTAAAATGGAAGTTTACGCTTCCCTTTTTTTTTTTTGTGTGTGTCCCCTGTTCATCTGGCTACTAAGAGTCCCAATCCCTCCATCCTTTTCCGCAAGCTGCACAAAAACTTTTTTCTAGAGGGGAATGTCCACACCTATGCCAGAATGTCCACACTGATCCCAGGTGGCTTCAGGGCTGTGTATAACTCACTGTGTGTAACACGGTGCCATCAGGAGGCTAGCTGCTAGGACCCAGAAAGGACAAATTGGACCTAGCCAGCGTAGCAGCTTTTGGCAGATGTCAGTGGGACAAAACTGTATTTACTTGGCAGGTGAGTGTTATTTTAGCTCACCCCACCAGACCAGATTAAAACTTGCCCAGGGGGAGTGAAGTTAATCTTTTAATTACATCCAAACTATTTATTTTAAAATAATAGTGGCTCCAAAATGTGAAGAAAGATTGCTTTTGTCCAATTTGACTGGATACCAGAATGGGTTGTTCCTTTTCCACTAAAACCGTCACCAGTTAACCAAAGTGTCTAATTAGTGCAGTGAATTTCAGAAATGATTTTAACTTATTTGTATGGCTGATATTACCCATGTAACCCAAAAATTGTGGCAAAGACTTGTTCAGATATTGAGTATTTTCCCTTGACGTTTGTGTATTTCCCTTAAATGCTGATTGTGTGAAACTCCCATGTTATTTCTCCCAGTTTTTCATTATTCTTTCCAGTTTTCTTTATCCTCTTTAACTGTACTTTTTTTTTTTTTTTTTTTTTTCCCCCTTAGTTCTCGATCTCGCTCAAGATCTTATTCGCCTGGATATAGTAGAGAGAGCGAAATTATCCAAGAGTTTATCAAAATCGTGACTTCAGAGGGCATAACAGAGGTTATAGAAGACCATACTATTTCCGCAATCGTGGAAGAGGATTTTATCCACGGGGTCAGCATAATCGCGGTGGATATGTAAATTATCGCCCTAACTGGCAGAATTACAACCGTCAACAATATAGTCCCCGTAGGGGTCGGTCTCGTTCCCGCTCCCCAAAAAGGAGATCACTCTCTCCTAGGTCCAGGAGTCGCTCAAGAAACTCAGACAAATCCTCCTCTGATCGCTCCAGGAGGTCTTCATCCTCTAGGTCTTCCTCCAATCACAGTAGAGTGGAGACTAAACGTAAATCAAAAAAGGAGAAGAAAAGTCATTCAAAGGATCAAAGAAGTTCTGTCCAAGCAACAGATGATGACTCGAAGGAACAATCTGCATTGGTCGCTGATAATGATGATAAAACAGAAGGTGGCAAGATATGGCAGGATATGGAAGCTTACGATACAAGTCCTTTACCCCACCACAGTCCTGAAGAACGTGCACCAACAGTTAAAAGCTCTGTGCAGTCTGTAGTGGTGAGACGCTGCTCTCCCAGGCCAAGTCCAGGGCAAAAACCAAGTCCTTCTTCCCCCTCTGTTTTACAGAGTGGTGGCAATTTCAGGTCATCTCGCCAGAGTCCTTTTGAACACAGCTTGAGCCCACCTAGAAAGAGTCCTATGACCAAGAGCCCACCCACAATGGGTTCGCTCTATGGAAATCAAAAAGAAGAGGGCAGATCTGGAGAGTTGACTGCACCAATTGGCACTGGATATAAAAGGTATGCTTCCTGTCATTATGATCACTCTTAAGTATAGCTCAGTTACACTATTTACATGTCTTAAAAACGTTAATATATTATTTTATGCATGTGTAACTTTTTCCATTGGTTTAGTTTAGACTGCTTTGCTGTGCAATTTGATAATCCTAATATATGTTCAATGGCATGCAAAACCAAAGACGTTAATGTCCATGGCTAGAAATATATCAGTTACGTTTAGGAATGCAGTTGCCTAAGAATGTAGTAGATGTCTCTTCCTTGTGATATTTTCTAAAGTTACAGCTACATGTGGCCCAGTTGCATGTTAACTACTCCTAACCCTCTACATAAGCTGGAATGTAAAACCAACTTAAATCCCACTTAACCTTCTTCTGACTTTGTTGTGTGCTGTTGGTGTAAGCTTTTTTTAAATTGCTGTATAGAATAGAATATTTGGTCTACATAATCCTGTCCTTACTGTGCGCCATGATTAATATGACCGTTTGTACTTTCCATATCTGGTTTCTCCATCCATCTGTTAAAAGCTGGAACAGTTGCTACTTGAAGTAGGCTGTGTGCACATCTAGGTTTAAAAAGAAAAGAAAACAAAACAAATTTATAGGAACAAGCTACTGAAGGGTTTATAAAACTGCACGTTGCAAAAGGCAATGTTGTGCAGTGCCTTTATTGTAGTCATAAACCATCTTTAAAGTATAGGTTCACCTTCGGGAGCTTGTTACATTTTCCATCCATTTTTAGGTTGGAGTATGTCGCAGGTCCTTGCTTCTGCAGATCTCAGCCCCGATTACCAGCCCCCCCCCCTTCCCCCATGACCGCATGTCAGGGATCTTCTCCACCCATGTGACTACATCATTCAGAGTTTAGTGAATGAGAGAACTACAACTACCATCAGCCTTTTGAGGCTTGTGACTTGTAGTTCTCAGTGAACTATAAGGGTACTAGCAAGTGTTCTAGGTAGTTCATTAGTTCTTCCTCTCATTGTGCAACTGTCTGCTTGTACGAAGTGAGACAGCTTACACTGACAGTCTGCAGAAACCCTGCATTGTCCCTGCGATCTGCTAATCACGAGTGCAATGCTCTGCAGGCTCCTAATACAGAAAATATAAATGCACATTTTTTTACCTACAAAAAAATTGGCATTTATTTAGTGTAAAGGTAAACTTAACCTTTAACGCGGACCTTCATCGCGGACCTTCATCTTTCATGGCCCCCTTGGCATTGTCTTCCATCCCTCTTCTGCTCTGCTGCACAAATTGGGCATTCTCCTTTTTTTTTTTTTTTTTCACTTTTTTTTGTAATAAAGCTCTGCCCAATGAGGCACAGTCCTCCTTTGGTTAGGGAAGAGGGGGCAGGGCCAGGTGGTTTGTCAATGGGAGGAGAGAAAAACAAGTGCCATCTAGGTGTAGTATTAAAGACCAGTTTAATAAACAAAAGCAATATCACTCACAAAGGATGAGTCCTCTTTGGCATAAGCAAAAGGATGGTCGTCAGTAGTGGCCCCGGACTGCACTGGATGATGGCTGTGAATCGGCTTTCAGGCTGTTCTGGAGGCTCCCAGGGCTTCCTGATTGTTGTGGAATGCAGCCGAAGGCAAAAGTGATGTCAATGACTGGAACTGTCGATTAAAGATGGCAACACATTGCGGAGCATGCACTCCTTCAGGCCGTGGTGGAGCCATCTTGAAGATGGTATTTAAGGGCATCAGGGGTGGATCATTGCGAGATTTGCTTCTCTATGGGTTATACTATGCAGTGGCCGAGAACAGGGTCATCAAGGGAAGAAATGGGTGCTAATATGGCTTGCTACCATAAATTTGTATAATAAAAAGGCATATAAAAAATATATGTACTAGCAGAAAAGAACAAAACAGGGCGTGCACTCGTGCATTACCGTGATAGTAAGAAATCTATTATAAAAATACAAATGCATACAAGCCAAAAAGGTCATAAAAACAGAGACAAGGAGTCAAAAAATGCCGGAGAGAGACACTGGAAAGAAAAATATATAAAGAAAGAACGGGTGAGAAAAACCATGATATTCATACAGGAAAAGACCTAAAAGTAGAGGGTACATGGGGATAAAGCTGGGAGACGTCCTATTCTTGAGCTTCACATAAGCTCTCTACACTTCCATTCCTCATGATTTTGGTATTCTATACACATGCATCCCTCTGTTCCATATGGTTGTAGGCACCTGGAGGTATATTTGTATCTATTTTTAATATGCCTTTCTATTATACAGTTTTATGGTAGCAAGCCATATTAGCACCCATTCATTCCCTCAATGCCCCGGTTCTCGGCCATTGTACAGTATATCCCATAGAGTGGCGAATCTCACAATGATCCGCCCCTGATGCCCTTAAGTACCATCTTCAAGATGGCTCCACCATGGACTGAAGGAGTGCATGCTCCGCAAAACATCGCCATCTTTAATCGTCAGTTCTGGTCATTGACGTCACTTCCGCATTCAGCTGCGTTCCACGCCAATCAGGAAGCCATGGGAGCCTTCAGAACAGCCTGAAAGCCGGTCAACCTCCATCCATTGTGGTCCGGGGCCACTATTGACGACCATCCTTTTGCTTGTCAGTGCACCCTTTTGTGAGCGATTATTGCTTTTGTTTATTAAACTGGTTTTTAATACTACACCTAGATGGAGCTTGTTTTTCTCTCCTCCTTGATCTCTTGAAAGAATCTTCTCCTGCTCTCACACAAGCTGTCTCATAGTGGACATTTCGAGACCTCACAAGGTCCTGGACTGTATTGTCTTTTGATATATATTTGGATTATTGCCACTTAGTAGCACTCAATTGTTTCTTTTGCAACTTATGTTATTTGGTTCGTCATCGGGAAGCCGCTGGCTTAGCCCAGAAGAGCTGGCAGATTACCGATGACGTCCCAAAAGAAGATGGCAGCACAGGACTGAGGGGGCCAGAAAAGAAGCAGATCTCAGCAGGACAATGCTGGATATGCTGAGCACGTGAGTACTTTATTTGTGCAGGACCTGCAACCAGGTAAGTAGGGGTTAAAAAAAAAAAAGAAGGGGGCAGAGTGAAGATCTGCTTTAAGCACCTCAGAGTGGGCAGCAACATAAATAGCTTTATGGTTTATTACTAGGGGTGACTGCATGCCATAACTAATTGTACTGTTATCAAGTTCCTGTTTTTACTGGTTCTAGATTTGGGTCACATCATGGGAATGTACAGGTGAAACTCGAAAAATTAGACTATCGTGCAAAAGTTAATTTATTTCAGTAATGCAACTTAAAAGGTAAAACTAATATATGAGATAGACTGATTACATGCAAAGCAAGATAGTTCAAGCCGTGATTTGTCATAATTGTGATGATTATGGCTTACAGCTCATGAAAACACCAAATCCACAATCTCAGAAAATTAGAATATTACATGTAATCAATAAAACAAGGATTGTACATAGAACGATATCGGCCCTCTGAAAAGAATAAGCATGCATATGTAATCAGTACTTGGTTTGGGCCCCTTTTGCAGCAATTACTGCCTCAATGCGACGTGACATGGAAGCTATCAGCCTGTGGCACTGCTGAAGTGTTATGGAAGACCCAGGATGCTTCAATAGCGGCCTTCAGCTCTTCTGCATTGTTCGGTCTCATGTCTCTCATCTTTCTCTTGGCAATGCCCCATAGATTCTCTATGGGGTTCAGGTCAGGCGAGTTTGCTGGCCAATCAAGCACAGTAATCCCACGGTCATTGAACCAGGTTTTGGTGCTTTTGGCAGTGTGGGCAGGTGCCAAGTCCTGCTGAAAAATGAAGTCCGCATCCCCATAAAGCTTGTCTGCAGAAGGAAGCATGAAGTGCTCCAAAAATCTCCTGGTAGACGGCTGCGTTGACCCTGGACTTAATGAAGCACAGTGGACCAACACCAGCAGATGACATGATCAACACAAAACTGTGGAAACTTCACACTGGACTTCAAGCATCTTGCAGTGTGTGCCTCTCCATTCTTCCTCCATACTCTGGGTCCTTGGTTTCCAAATGAGATGCAAAAGTTGCTCTCGTCAGAAAAGAAGACTTTGGACCACTGAGTAACAGACCAGGTCTGTTTTTCTTTAGCCCAGGTAAAACTCTTCTGACATTGTTTTTCTGGAGCCCCTTAACAAGAGGAATACAACATTTGAAGCCCATGTCCAAGATCCGTCTCTGTGTGTTGGCTCTTGATGCACTGACTCCAGCCTCAGTCCACTCCTTGTGAAAGTCCCCAACACTTTTGAATGGCCTTTTCCTGACAATCCTCTTCAGGCTGCGGTCAACCCTGCTGTGGGACACTTTGAGCCTAGAATATTGCACCTTTTCACAATATTCAAATTTTCTGAGATTGTGGATTTGGGGTTTTCATGAGCTGTAAGCCATAATCATCACAATTATGACAAATCACAGCTTGAACTATCTTGCTTTGCATGTAATGAGTCTATCTCATAATATTAGTTTCACCTTAAGTTGCATTACTGAAATAAATGAACTTTTGCACGATATTCTAATTTTTTGAGTTTCACCTGTATAGTGAGAAAAAGTGATTGAACATAGTATTCAGAGTGAAATCAAACAAGTCCAAATGGGACAAAGATAAAGTGAACAAAGTGAACTGATCCTAATCAGGGATCCAAAGTGACATCCTCAAAGTGAATAAACGTGGTGACTTAACCTCCCTAATGGTATTCCCGAGTGTAGCTCGGGGTAAAATGTCTATACCAAAAGCGGTAACCCCGAGCTACACTCGGGCTTACCATGCGGCGCTGCATAGGGAGTCCCTGCAGCACTTACCTTGTCCTTCGCTCCCACGATGTGTCCCCTGCAGCATCCCCGGCCATCTCCTTCGGCGGATGCCGGCATCCGCCTCCTGTGTTCCGGTCCCTGTGACTTCGGGACGTACGGGTTCCGCCGCCGGCGGGAAATTTAAAAAAAGTCATTTTTTTCAAAACGATTTTACATAGTAAAACATTGCTGTTTCAACCCATTTCACATACATTTTGTCCCTAGTGCTTTGTCCTGTCCCCTGTCTGCATTTTGATTGTTCTTTCTGCCTGGAAACGTAGAAAAGTTCATGGCGTCCAAAAAGTGTCCCTTTAGGTCAAAAGCGGGTTTAGATCAGCTATAGAACAGCGATAGTAAATCAGAACCACTTGCAGAATTGAGTGATGATTCGTGGAGAAATTTGTCATCAGACACTGAAAACAATTTTGCGACCTTGCTCAGCGATGTGCGAACTTGGCGCTATATTTCAAATTTCAGTGTTTTTGGTTTGATTATATTATTGAATTAAATGTATGATTTAGAATCTTGTTCAGACAGATTTCAGTGAGTTATTCCTAAAAATTACAGCCTACAATAAAAAAACTACATATTTCCATGCAAAATAATGGTACCGCTTTCAGCACCAAAAATCTGAAATAATCATACCGCCAGGGAGGTTAAAAAATATTAGGATGAATCCAAACAAAGTCTAAATGGTCTGAATATTATGTTCAATCACTTTTTCTCACTATAGATCACAGTGTGGATCAAGTTCACGTTTTTTGTCACGTAATTTTCATTATATTAGTATAATTTGTATAATCGTTTATAGCTTAGCGCTGCACCATTTGATGTATTGTTCATATGGTATATGATTGGGTGTTAGCAGCTCCCCACGGTCAATAGCATATTATTTAGGAGCGCAGGAGGATCATACTACAATCATGGGAATGTGTTTTCATCGTATTTTCAGATAAATTCAAGTGCCAGTACTCATGGGGCCCATTCACATCAGCAGCACTTACATAACCTGGCCTAAACTAACATAAGCTTGTCGTAAGAGAAACGTTGGTGACCTCCAAAAAATGTTTGTTGATTGGCTGCTCTTGCCTCCTAACTTTTATTTGTCTAAAGCAGGCCATACATGTTTGTTGCTGATTCAGCCAAAATTTGATCCATGGGTTCACTGACCCGACCACCTGGCTCAACAAACTTCGATCTGAAGATCAAAGTTGCTGGCTAGAAAGTTGTTGGCTGAACAGTGACTGCAGTTCATTGTAAAATTAATGTATTTCATTAGGAACCGTTAACACCAGTGCACTGCAATATTGCAATATTCAGTGCACTACCAAAGTGGAAGCACCCATCATGTGCTGTGAATAGACCCTTAAAGTCTTTCATCTGTTAATTTATTTTCGTCTTTTAGTTCATATTAAGCAGCCCGTAGATTACACAATTTTATTTCCTTTCACCACGGGTGGAAGAAAAGATTCCCCCATTAACACTGACTGTGAATCTCTCCTATCTCACTATTGTGTTGTGCTTGTGTGGAGCCTTCCCTGCCCACAGAACATAATGATCACTGCTGGCAGCTATAGAGGCTGGCAGTGATCACATGAAGAAAAATCCAAAACTCTGGTTGTACTAAAGTCGATCAATGGATCAACGTCCATACAACCAGCCAGTCCATGGTTGGGTTGAATCTCTGCCTGCCCATGCTGAATCGGCTGAGATTCGATCCATCTATGGCCAGCTTTAGAAGATCTACATGAAAGCCAATCACCTTGCATCTCATAAAGTTTAGCGATGGCAGCCTCTGTTTCTTATTACAAGTTTCTTCTAACTTGTGTTAATTTGTGAGCTTTAGTGAGCGTTAACAAGCTTTTGTGTACTCCTTTCTTGAAGCTGAGCATTGAAAATGCTGTTCAGTGTCTGAATAAATTTTTCTGGTACTTTTAGAATTGCCACCTTTAATAGTTGCTGCATGAGGTTATTACAGAATGTTTGGGACATCTATAGTAGGCTTTTGCCCACTGTTTAAACTTTTGTGAAGTATATAATCACTATTCAGAGCTGATAAAAAGTACTGGTGCACATTGAAATAATATAAATGTTAAATGTATGTGGCATGTGTAAAATAATAAAAAACCCCATGAGTGCATTCCACGTTTGTCCTAAAAGGAATCTGTTTTCAGGAAATGCACCTTGATGTGAACAAAAATCCTTAAATGAGACTAGGGGGCAAAGCACCCAAAGAAATCCCTGACTGTAGTTTTTTTTTTTTTTTTTTTTTTTTTTTTTTTAGCCAGACTAATACAAATGTGTTTTCTTCAAGTTTTTTTATATATATTTTTTTGTTTTTATTTTATTTACAGTGTGCAGGCAATTTTTAAACCCTCTAGGAGACTTTCAGCAATGTTCAAGTATTTTTTAGCCTGTTGAGGCTTTCTTTTCCAGTTTGTTTTAAAGAGAATCGCTCCACTGCAGAGGAGAAAAAATTATCATGGTCTTACTTCAGACCAAATAACATAATCAGATAAAAAGCACATTCAAAAATGCTGTTCTACCAAGTACAGGTTGGTAAAGTGACTCGAGTAGCTTGGATGAAAGCATAAATTCTATTTAAGATCACGTTGTAGGTTTAGGACAAACTGTGGTAAGTAACTGGATTTACTGCGCACAGATTGGCATCGTATGTGGATCATTGTTTCATCCTAAAGCAGCAGCTCTACTGGGTGAGGTACACTTTTGGCCACCACACTGTAACTGACATACTTTTGCTGAGGGCTTAGTCAAAACCAGACAAATTAAATTGGTATGGAGAATTTTGAACTCCATAGTTTTTTTTTTTTTTTTTTTTTTTTTTTTTACTGTATAAAGGAAAGAGTCTCACATTGTATAGCAAGAAACCATTAGTGGTTCAGTTGTGGAATGCATCGTCTATCAATGACAAATTTAATAATGGAATTTATAATATGCACGGATTAATGTTCTTACATGTAATGGTAAAATTACTGGGTAAGAGTAAAATGGAATGATTTTGATGCAGGAATTGATACAACCCTTCCGGGGTTGAGACAGAAATATGTCTCTTCCTCCTGTGAGGCAAAATTGGTAATGGTTGTGAAGGTAGTTGATACCTGATGCACTGGAGTCTGTTTTTTTTGTAGTACAATTTTCTAGCCTCCTTCTAATATACAAGCAGGGGCTCCTGTATGACAGTGTAGACAAGTACCCAATCTAGTTGCTTTGTGAGTACTAGTTGCACAAGTATAATGAAGTTAAAAAAACAAGTTCCTTTTACCTTCACTATCTGAACCAGATCCTTCTTTTTATGTCTTGGCTTTAACGGTATTGTCAGTCCTGCCAGTCAGCATCTGGCCACATCTAGTACTGCCAAGTTACAGGCTTGTGAATCAGTAGCCCCACCACTTGCAACATTTTTTCATCCCACTGTAGTAAAAGCAGACAACGGCCTACGAGAGTGACTGCTTTGCTTTGAGTTCTGCAACAGTATAGATCTGCTGCCACACCATCACAGAAAGCTGCATTAGGCGGATTTAAGTAGCAGGTGTTTGTGGGACCTTGCAGGTGGACTGGTAGTATAGAAATATAATTAAATTCTGTAGCGTGTGTGTGTGTGTGTGTATACAGGTGAAACTCGAAAAAATTAGAATATCGTGCAAAAGTTCATTTATTTCAGTAATGCAACTTAAAAGGTGAAACTAATATATGAGATAGACTCATTACATGCAAAGCAAGATAGTTCAAGCCGTGATTTGTCATAATTGTGATGATTATGGCTTACAGCTCATGGAAACCCAAAATCCACAATCTCAGAAAATTAGAATATTGTGAAAAGGTGTAATATTCTAGGCTCAAAGTGTCCCACTCTAATCAGGTAATTAAGCCATAACACCTGGAAAGGGTTCCTGAGCCTTTAAATGGTCTCTCAGTCGGGTTCAGTAGGAATCACAATCATGCTGACCTGACAGTTGTGCAGAAAACCATCACTGACACCTTCCATAAGGAGGGAAAGCCTCAAAAGGTAATTGCAAAAGAAGTTGGATGTTCCCAAAAGTGCTGTATCAAAGCACATTAATAGAAAGTTATGTGGAAGGGAAAAGTGTGGAAGAAAAAGGTGCACAAGCAGCAGGGATGACTGCAGCCTGGAGAGGGATTGTCAGGAAAAGGCCATTCAAAAGTGTTGGGGACTTTCACAAGGAGTGGACTGAGGCTGGAGTCGGTGCATCAAGAGCCACCACACACAGATGGATCCTGGACATGGGCTTCAAATGTTGTATTCCTCTTGTCAAGCTGCTCCTGAACAACAAACAACGTCAAAAGCGTCTTACCTGGGCTAAAGAAAAACAGACCTGGTCTGTTGCTCAGTGGTCCAAAGTCTTCTTTTCTGATGAGAGCAACTTTTGCATTTCATTTGGAAACCAAGGACCCAGAGTATGGAGGAAGAATGTAGAGGGACACACTGCAAGATGCTTGAAGTCCAGTGTGAAGTTTCCACAGTCTGTGTTGATTTGGGGAGCCATGTCATCTGCTGGAGTTGGTCCACTGTGGTTCATTAAGTCCAGGGTCAACGCAGCCATCTACCAGGAGATTTTGGAGCACTTCATGCTTCCTTCCACAGATTAGCTTTACGGGGATGCTGACTTCATTTTCCAGCAGGACTTGGCACCTGCCCACACATATTCTAATTTTCTGAGATTGTGGATTTGGGGTTTTCATGAGCTGTAAGCCATAATCATCACAATTATGACAAATCACAGCTTGAACTATCTTGCTTTGCATGTAATGAGTCTATCTCATATATTAGTTTCACCTTTTAAGTTGCATTACTGAAATAAATGAACTTTTGCACGATAGTCTAATTTTTCGAGATTCACCTGTGTGTATGTGTGTGTATGTATGTGTATATATATATAGAGAGAGAGAGAGAGAGAGAGAGAGAGAGAGAGAGAGTTGGCCATAATTAACCCCATCTGTACTGTGCTGGCAGATCTCTAAATCTCTAATAGCTGTTAGCTAGATTTGCACACTGCCTGTTCTGACAAAGGGTTACAGTTTTAGAAGCTTGCCCTCCTATATTGATGAGAGGGAGCTCATCCTGTCTGAAGGCTTTTTATTGAGACAGACTCACACTAAACTTGTTTGGAAATTATTGTAATCAACCATGACACCTTCTCCTACTCCTAATAAACTTCTAACAGGTAAGTAATAACACAGCATACTTTCTTTTTTTTTTTTTTTTTACAGCACACATAACAAACATATACTGTAGTTTTAATTTTCACAAATTGGACTGCAAAAGTGGAAATCCATCAGAAAATGTTAAAACAAATACTCTAAGTCATTAGAATTAGATATGCCAAAAAGGAATCCTTTTTTGTTTTTCCTTGTCATTTTGGGGTGACCTAAATGGTAGGAGTTGCACATGTTGGATAAACTCTTATCCTTCTCAAAAAGGCAATGCTGTATCAAAAGATCAAATCATGTGGGACGTGTTGTACTAGGTTCAGCTTTAATGAAGTACACATGTAGAACTGCTGCTTTCATAGTAAGTTCATTTGTAACTATTCTTTCCCCACAATTTATTTCATTTTGGCTTTTTTTTGTCATAAATTTCATTTTCAACCCATTCTGTGTTTATTATATTTGTCCTATTTCATATGATATGAACCCAGTGTGCTAGAGATTCTATCAATTTTTGCTCATGCTGTGACATTTTTAGCTAACAGTGCATTTTTTTTTGTTTTGTGTCTGTTTGTTTTTAATCCAGCTACAAATTTTCCAGTATCTTTTTAAACCTATTTAAGTTATTCTTTAATAATCTCTACAGTGCAAGTTAGAGGTTCTTCAATTTACAGTTTTGGATTTGGCTGCTTTAGTTGACAAAGTTGTGACAGCCAGTAAAAGAAAGCTCTGTCAGCTGCAGAGTGGAAGTGGTTTGAAGGGAGAGAACTTGCAACTGTTTCATGAAACAGCTATACTTACTGGAAGTACCCGGGGGGATTCACTTGAATCTTGTTAATGTATGTTCTCCACTCTGTGTTTTATGTAGTGTTATTCGTTTTCCTTTCCGCTAAAGGTTTATGGAAGAACAGAAAAACAAGGCATCAGAACTAGAAAAAGAAAATGGGAAAGAAAAACTGTCTAATTTGGAGAAAATGAAGGATCGTAGCAGTCCTACTGATTTTGCTATGAGTGAGTTGGAAAGGGCTTATAAAAAAAGCATATCCCCAAAGCGCTATAAGATGAAAGAGGATATGGAAAAATTAAAGTTGGCTGAATTGAGATACGCAAAGGAGGAACTTGAACTGGAGAAAAAGGGAAGAACAAGGAAAGATTCTGATAGTGATTCCAAGAATCAAGACCCATACGATCCCGCAAAGTGGGAAGAGCTGTCTTTCATACCAAGCGCTAAGGAGAAGCGAAAAAAATCAGAAGATACAGATGATGAAATCTATATGGAAAAGTCTAAGAAAGAAGAGAAAGGTACAAAGTCTAGTCATAAAGCATTTCTACCTGAAAAAAACTTCAGAGTTACAAACTTTAAGGCTTCTAAAGAGAAAAGTGAATCCCCACCGCCTAGAAAATCAGAGAGCAAAGAGAAGCTTTTATCCAAAGAAGATTTGTCCTTCTCAAAATCAAATTTTTCAGTTAGTCGGGAAACAGGTCCTAGTCTCCGAATGGATTCCTTTGATGAGGATCTGGCACGGTAAGTTGAGATTATTAAAGAAGTTACTTATCATAGCATATACATTAACATTACAAAGAAAGTTGTCATAGCTTGGATAATGCTGTAGTCAATCTTTTTATCAATGTAGGTAAGAGAAGGAGAGAAGCGCCTCTAAGAGCAATATGCCTCTTTATTAAAGTATATATGTAGGAACACTCACCTAGGTAAAGTAATAGTAAGCATAAAAACCATAGTTAACAATAGTTAACAGTGGGGTGGTAGCCAGGGTGAAGAGCCGTCATCTCTCTGCGGTGTGCAGAGGTCACCTTTCGGCTGGAACAGTGTGGTGGCTGGAGGGGAACAGCGGTGAGGCTGGCCAGCGTGCACATCCTCCCTCAGAGCCAGATGGAATGCACGCTGGAGCGCGGCGGCGTGGCCTTGATGACGTCAGATACCCAAGGTGCACTGCGACACGTTTTGGAGCATGCGCTGGCCGTGGAAGGCGGAAGTGCGCTCCTTTTTCAAGCAGTGGAAGGATAAGGATGAAGAAAAAGGAGCACACTTCCTCCGCCTTCCACGGCCAGCTTATTTGAAAGCCTTGCCCTCAGTGCCACACGGATCCCCACGCTCTTCATACAACAACCACCACCATCACCCCATACTATTACCCAGGACTTCCTGCAGTGTTTGCGCTGATACTACCCCTCCCTCATTTTTTTCAACCTTTTTATCAATGGAGGCTGCACAGAACCAATTTTTCAACCTTTCAATGTGGTTGTCTTCTCAAATGATGGTGACTTGATGGGCCCTGGAAATTTAGAAGCCCATACACGATCAGTTGATTGTGTCAACCACAATGTTTTGGAGGGTCGTGGCAGTATGTCCAGTTCTGGGCTTTGAGGGTATTAATAAGATTTTACTGTAAACTTTAAAATCTTGCACTAGTAGGTGATCTTTCTATAGAATAGCAAAGCATATCAAGGAGTGATGAATTTAGCAAATAATGGTGCTCGTTCACTTCAAGCACAGTGTTATATGGTTACATAGTTAGTCTGGCTGAAAAAAGACAAAAGTCCATCCAGTTCAACCATTAAAAAAAAAAAAGTTATCCTACACCCACAGGTGTTCTAAGGATCCCTACTAACAAGTAATAAATGGATGTTTTTGTCAGCAGAATCCAGGACACTGTTCCTGGTATAGAAATTAAAAAAAAAAGTTACTTCAATGCTTTTGCAGTGTTTCTCTTTTGAGAGGTTTTGCCCCTTTGGTACTACTGAAAGGTCTAGGATGAAGAAAGTATGATACAATCTGGGTCTTGATCTTGTAACATGTAACCCTAAATATGGATTTGTCTTTTTTTTTTTTTTTTTTTTTCCTCCTTTGGGAATTAACTTTTAAACTCTTACTGAACTTTTCTCTGGTTTTCAGAGTATCTTATGTTTTATGGAGTAGGTCAGTGTTTTTCAACCTTTTTTGTGCAAAGGCACACTTTTTTCATGAAAAAAATCACGAGGCACACCACCATTAGAAAATGTTAAAAAAATTTATTGAAAAACTTTTTGACTTGAGGGCCGCAATGGGTCCATATATTGGACCCGGGGGGCCGGACCAAGAGTAGATGAATGATGTGTATGTGTCATCCATAGTAAGTATAGTAATATTCCCCCATAGTAAGCATAGTAATTCATCCCCCATATAGTAATTCATCCCCCATATAGTAATTCATCCCCCCATAGTAATTCATCCCCCATATAGTAATTCATCCCCCATATAGTAATTCATCCCCCATAGTAATTCATCCCCCATATAGTAATTCATCCCCCATATAGTAATTCGTCCCCCCTATAGTAATTCGTCCCCCCTATAGTAACTCGTCCCCCCTATAGTAATTCATCCCCCCTATAGTAATTCATCCCCCCTATAGTAATTCATCCCCCATATTAAGTCCCCAAACCCCCCCTATGTCAATTCACTTACCTTTGCTCCTATGAGGATCTGTCCCCCTCGACGTATCTGCGCATGTGCCAGTTTCAGGCATTAGCAGCCGATCGGCGATCTCCGGCACATGCGCAGATACGTCGAGGGGGACAGATCATCCTGACAGTATCACGCTCCGCGCCGGATTAAAAGGTCCGCCGGGCCGGATTAAAAGGTCCGCCGGGCCGTATACGGTCCGCCGGGCCGTATACGGTCCGCCGGGCCGTATCGGTCCCCCCGGGCCGTATACGGTCCGCGGGCCGTATACGGTCCGCCGGGCCGTATACGGTCCGCCGGGCCGTATACGGTCCGCCGGCCGTATACGGTCCGCCGGGCCGTATACGGTCCGCCGGGCCGTATACGGTCCGCCGGGCCGTATACGGTCCGCCGGGCCGTATACGGTCCGCCGGGCCGTATACGGTCCGCCGGGCCGTATACGGTCCGCCGGGCCGTATACGGTCCGCCGGGCCGTATAGGGTCCGCCGGGCCGTAGTTTGCCCATTGCTGTTCTAATGATTGGTCTATTTGTGAGCCGAGGCCACATGTTACGGATGAAATTGCAATTTTTCCCACGGCACACCAGACAATATCTCACGGCACACTAGTGTGCCGCGGCACAGTGGTTGAAAAACGCTGGAGTAGGTTATATGGTGTGTCTGAAAGAAATACGTGTGTGTGTGTGTGTGTGTGTGTGTGTGTGTGTGTGTGTGTGTACACCCCTCACATTTTTGTAAATATTTTATTATATCTTTTCATGTGACAACACTGAACAAATGACACTTTGCTGCAATGTGAAGTAGTGAGTGTAGAGCTTGTATAACCGTGTAAATTTGCTGTCCTCAACATAACTCAACACACAGCCATTAATGTCTAAACCGCTGGCAACAAAAGTGAGTCCACCCCTAAGTGAAAATGTCCAAATTGGGCCCAAAGTTTCAATATTTTGTATGACTGTGACAATCGCGGTATCAGACCCCAGCCCTTCTCACCAAACTCGTGACTGAAGGACTAGCCAATCTAAAACCGCGCTGTCACGTTGCTAACAATGCCACACCCAGCTGCACCCTGCACTAAGATTTTCCAGCTAATGGACCACAACGTGTGTGTCGGCAGCCTGGGAACGATTGTTACTGGGTCAGGTTAATTACGCAATTAACCCTTCACACTGCCACCACCTCCTTTTTGTACAGAGAAAGCGGAAACTCGCTAGCGCTTTTCAGAGGTAGGGATTCTTAGTTCGCAATAAAGAGCTTTAGAAACAGTTCAACGCTTTCAGAAAGTAAGATTATTACTAAAAAGCTCAAAAGGGTGCAATAAAAATATTTACATAAAAAGATGTAGCGTACACACACGCACACGCACACACATGCTGGGATGGTTTAAGGAGATATTTTCTGCTCTCCTGTTGATCTCAGCTAGGGGATGTAATATCTCAAACGATTTGTATTAAAGTGAGCCATCCGAATATGTGCTCCATGTTTAAGTCTTTCATAATCCAAGATATGTAATCATAGGGGAAAAGTGGATTTTTAAATGTAAGTCTGGTTTACGACTAAATGGAATGTCTTTGAAACTTAGTGACGGCTTGGTTTATGGCTTTACAATCCCTTCTCCAGCAAGAGTCTCACAGACATAGGGGCACCGCTAATTGGGGTTTATAGCAATGTCGCCCTCCCAATGAGTTTGCTGCCTGTGATCTCTCTCATCGTTCAGACCACATGTCACTCAACAGAGAGGGAGGGGGGATATCGGAGGAATCTGATTTGGGAGAAAGAGATACAAGATGGAGGGGTTTGCAGCAAAATGCATGACCACGTCCATCTCTGTGTGCATGATTGCTACAATGACCACCATTATTTTTCCAGCACTGGCTTAACCCTCTTGGGCGTGGAGTTCACTAGAGCTTCACAAGTTGCCACTGGTGACCTCTTCCACTCCTCCATGGCGACATCACAGAGCTTGTGGACGTTGGACACCTTGTGCTCCTCCACCTTCCGTTAGAGGATGCCCCACAGATGCTCAGTAGGGTTTAGGTCTGCAGACATGCTTGGCCAGTTCATCATCTTTACCCTCAGCTTCTTTAGCAAGGCAGTTGTCTTGGAGGTGTGTTTGGAGTTATGTTGGAATACTGCCCTGCGGCCCAGTCTCTGAAGGGAGTTGATCATGCACTCATGCAGCCCCAGACCATGACACTCCCACAACCCTGCTTGACTGTAGGTAAGACACACTTGTGTTTGTACTCCTCACCTGGTTGCCACCACACACGCTTGACACCATCTGAACCAAATAGGTTTATCTTGGTCTCATCAGACCACAGGACATGGTTCCAGTAATCCATATCCTTAGTCTGCTTGTCTTCAGTAAACTGTTTGCGGGCTTTCTTGTGCATCATCTGTAGAAGAGGCTTCCTTCTGGGACAACAGCCGTGCAGACCAATTTGATGCAGTGTACGGCGTATGGTCTGAGCACTGACAGGCTGAACCCCCACCCCTTCAACATCTGCAGCAATGCTGGCAGCACTCATACGTCTATTTCCCAAAGACAACTTCTGGATTTGACGCTGAGCGCGTGCACTCAACCTCTTTGGTTGACCATGGTAAGGCCTGTTCTGAGTGGAACCTGACCTGTTAAACTGCTGTATGTTCTTGGCCACTGTGATGCAGCTCAGTTTCAGGGTCTTTGCAATCATCTTATAGCCCAGGCCATCTTTATGTGAAGCAACAATTCTTTTTTTCAGATCCTCAGAGAGTTCTTTGCCATGAGGTGCCATGTTGAACTTCCAGTGACCAGTATGAGAGAGTGAGAGTGATAACACCAAATTTAACACCCCTGCTCCCCATTCACACTCGAGACCTTGTAACACTAACGAGTCACATGACATCGGGAGGGAAAACGGCTAATTGGGCCCAGTTTGGATATTTTTTTACTTAGGGGTGTACTCACTTTTGTTGACTGCGGTTTAGACATTAATTGCTGTGTGTTCAGTTATTTTGAGGGAACAGCAAATTCAAACTGTTATGCAAGCTGTACACTCACCACTTTATATTGTAGCAAAGTGTAATTTCTTCAGTATTGTCGCATGAAAAGATATAATAAAATATTTACAAAAATGTGAGGGGTGTACTCGTGTCTGTGAGATACTGTGTGTGTGCACAAACATTCATTTTTTTTTTTTTTTTTGCTTTCTTCCCTGGTTTGGTAGCCCAAGTGGAATAATGGCTCATGAGAGAAAATTATCTCGAGATCTTGTCCACAGCAGTAAGAAGGATCAGGAGTTTAAGTCCATTTTTCAACACATCCAGTCCGCACAGCCCCAGCGCAGTCCATCTGAGCTGTTTGCACAACATATTGTGACCATTGTCCATCATGTTAGAGGTAAGTTTTGTATTTATTGAGAAAGTTATGGTGAATAGTATAGCTGGCAATAAAGCCAATATGGCTTCAATCTGCCAAGTATTTTTAGATTTCAGCGCTGTCACCCTTTGAATGACCATTACGCAGCCATACAACACTTTACCCGAACTAAATTTTTACTTTTTTTTTTTTTTTGACAGAGCTTTCTTTTGGGTGGTATTTATTTACACCTGGTTATTTCCCTTTTTTTCCCTTTTATAAGCTAAAAAATACCGAAAATTTTGAAAGAAAATTCAAATTTTTACATATTGTGACAGAGCAATGTTGCGCTAACATATTGATGACACTATGATTGCTTATAACAGTGATCACTGTTATAAGCAATCATTTTTAGGAATGACATCGAATCATTCATAGCCATTTATTAAGTACAGTTGCTATGGCTGTGCTTGACAGATGCACTGTGGCCCTGTCTGTACCATGCACCAATCGCAGAGATCGTAATAATAGTACACAATGAATGCCCCCAAAAGGTCTTGTCACGTGTTCAGTCCCTGCTATGCATCTTGACGTGCAGTGTCCTTTTTTTCATTGTATGTAATTTTAGAAAGAAAAACACTCCTGTCAAATTAAGATTCATACCCCAAAATTAAAAGTAACTTATTTGAAAGCCACTACAAATTTAGAACCCCTGCTTACTTTTTCAAAACGTCAGGACCAGTTGTGTACTGGCAAAATTTTTCCTACTGCAGGTCAAGAAATTTTTTAAAAAATAAAATTACTGAGTTGGAAAAAGGATCTCCCCCCATTCACCCCCCTCCTAAAAATTACTTTTAAACTCAATTAGGTGTAGCAATCGCATTCTCAATGGCACACAAAGCCATTTGACTTTCAACTGTGATCAGCTGTGGTCATTGTGATTAGCCCAGCGTGAAAAGCGCTTTCCTAGAGCATTTCAGTCCCTGGTAGTGCAACTGTAGCAAACAATCAAATATGGTTGGTAAAGCACTGTCAAAAGATCTCAGGGATTAAGTTGTGGACAGGCACAAGTCAGGAGATGGATACAAAAAAATTTCAAAGGCTTTATCAATCAATCAATTTATCAATAAAAGCACAGTGAAGTTTTTTTAAGAAGTGGAAAATATTTGGTGCAACATAAGACCCTCCTTGGATCGGGGCATAGCTCTAAACTGAATACCAGGAGGAAACTGATCAGAGACGCTACAGCAACTCTGAAGCAGTTGCAGGAATTTGACAGAGTGGTCATTGTATGCATGTGAAAATAATATCTCACACTTTTCACAAATGTGGCTTGTATGGGAGGGTTGCAAGAAAAAAATCCACTCCTCAGGAAAGGCCACATGCAGTCACAACTGAGATTTGCCAAAACGCACCTTGAAGATTCTGAGGCCACATGGAAAAAGATGTTATGGTCAGATGAGACTAAAATCGAATGAGTTGGCCTCAACACTAAATGATAAATCCAATTCAGCTCACCATCCAAACACCATCCTACAGTAAAGCATGGAGGTGGTAGTATCCTGTTATCCTGTGTTTCTCTGCAGCAGGGACTGGAGCACCGGTCAGGATAGAAGGAAAAATGGGGCAAAATACCATCAAATTCCTAAAATCTGCTGCTAAAAAGTTGTCGCTGGAAAGCAGGTTTACCTTCCAGCATGACAATGACCCAAAGCACACAGCAAAAATGACCACATAATGGCTGAAGGAGAAAAGGGTGAATGTCCTTGCATGGCCTAGCCAGAGCCCAAAAGTAAAACCCATTGAAAATCTGTGAAGTGACTTGGACTACAGTCCACAAATTGTCCCCAACAAATTTAACTGAACTTGAGCAGTTCTGCAAAGTAGCGTGGGCAAATATTGTGATGTTTAAATGTGCAAAGTTAGTAGAGACATATCCCAACAGTCTAAAGTACTTAAAGCAAAAGGTGGTTCAACAAAAAGGGGCAATTCTTTTTTCCAACTCAGGAAAATTTTTTTTAAAAATTCAAAAACAGAATCACTGACATGTTGATGTTGATCTTTTACTTGGATGTTATAGTTGCAAATAGTAAGAGTAAATATAGTTGGCTAAAGCTAAAACAATCACATTTTGTTGCTTTGCAGCCTGAAATGAAGACAGACCGTTTTCAAGGGGTGATTCCTTCCTATACCTTTCTATTCAGGTTCATGATTGGTGTGGCATAGCACCCATAGGCTAGGTTCACGCGTGTGGGTGTGGTAGTGCGTGTAAATTTCATCCAGCCACTCCCACCTTCTGCACATCCCGGCGCTCCAGTGACTTCTGGAGGGGAAGAGAAGAGAGCAGTGACTGATAGTCACCACTCTCTGCTCAGTAAAGACTGAGAACTGAGCAATTAGCGGTCTTTGATCACTTTGTTTTCAGTCTTCAAAACAGTGGAAGACTGATGCTGCCTCCCCCTAGGTCAGTGTGATTGTTTTTATGACAAGCCACAAAATATGGTGCAATTTCTATGTGGCCACATTTTGAAAAAAAATTTTCATGAAGGAAATGGAATGGACTACTGTTCCTGCTTAAATATGGCTTGCATATATATAAAAACAAATTAAACACAACAACACATCATTATGTTGGTGTGACTACCATTTGACTTCAAACCAGCATAAGTTGTTCTAAGTAAACACAGTTGTGCACACAATTTTTGAAGGAACTCAGCAGTTCTCCAAGATATTTGGAACAACCTAACTGCAGATCTTCTGTGGATGTAGGCTGCCACAGATCCTTCTATCTCTTAATGTAATCCCAGACAGACTCCATGATGTTGAGATCACGGCTCTGTGGGGAGCAAACCATCACTTCCAGGACTCCTTGTTCTACTTTGCACTGAAGACCATTTTTAATGACATTGGCTGTGTTTTGGGTCCGTTGTCCTGCTGCAGAATAAATTTAGGGCCAGTCGCATGCCTCCCTGATTGTATGGCATGAGTTCCTTCAAAAACTGTGTGTACCTAGATGAATTGATGCTGGTTTGAAGGCAAAGGGCGGTCACACCAAATATTGATTTGATTTGGATTTCTCTTCTGTTCACTTACTTTCTATGTTGTTAAATGATAAAAAAAGACTCGACACTTCTATTTCTGAAAGCATTCTTAATTTACAGCATTTTCACACCTGCCTAAAACTTTTGCAGTGTGTGTGTATACACACACTCTTTGATATGTTTTATTGCAAAGTAATGCTTTTATCTTCCCAGAACATCATTTTGGTCCAACAACGGTGACATTGAGTGAGCGTTTCTCAAGCTACCTAAAGAAAACAAAGGAGCAGGAGCCTTCAAAATCTCGAAAGAGTCCAGAAATTCACAGGTGCTTGTCATTGTCCTTTCCTGCTCATTCCCTAAAGAAGGGGAACTTAGTCTCACATCACTTCATGTTTGACTCGCACTACATGGACATCTAAGAATGCTTGGTGATGGCTCCACGAATGAATAGTGTGACCGCATTGTGCTTTCTGCAATAATTATATAAAAAAACAACGTGGTAGAAATTGGAATCGTTATTCTTCTTCAGTGCAGCTGTTCTATTAAGTGGGCTGCAAACAGCTTTGCAATTTTAGCATCTTATTTCAATGATCTGAAATGAACTGCTAATATGATTTTCTCAATGGACTGAAACAAACCATTAATCTGAATGGGACAATATTCTATAATCAATATGTTGAAAACACATCTGTGATTCCAAAAGCATTTTTATCATCTGCGAAGTCATTCTTTGGAGCCAAGAGATAATTGGCTGGGCAACTTTCTTTCAGACTGCGCCTTAGCCACCAATGTGTCTATATTGTGCACTTTGCTTGTATGTTTCGTGAAATGCTACTTTGTGTTTGCTTTCATTTCTGATGCAGTATTTAATGTCTTCTGCAGGAGAATTGACATTTCTCCCAGTGCTTTTAGAAAACATGGATTTATGCAGGAGGAGACAAAACACACAAAAGAAGGCAGCCACAAGGTGAGGAAGTGCTCTAGTAACAAACTGGCTTTGTTGAATAAAAGATCTAAGTAGGTGTTTTCTATCTATAAGACATGCTTCTCCCTTGCTGTCTACTTAAGTTTGTGTTTTTCTTTTAAGGATGTGAAATATTTCTAAAAAAAAAAAAACTGCAAAAATGTTAAATTTTTAATAAAACAAAATCTATAAATCAACAACCTTTATGAAGTGGTTTAGGATATGGTAAAAAATGAGATCACTCCAGTCTATTGTGATTGAACTTGAAAAAAAGAGGAAATTTGGATCCAAAATCTTCAATGATGAGCAAAGTGACCCTAATGTATTTTTGGGTTCTGCTTGTAAGTATCTTACTCTATTGTATACAAGACTCGCTGTGTTCATAAAAGCCAATTGCATGTCTTGGAAGATGGGAATTCTTCTGTGTTTTAGTTGTTCTGCTTTGGTAAACATTGCTAAGAATTAGTTGGTATGGACACCAAATATACCTAGAGAATGCTTACTGCAGTTCACTATTCATCTAAAACATCTTTAAAGTTGAGGTTTTCATCTTAATGATTACACTTCTATGTTTACTGGTTCCAAAATATTTATATTGCTTTTCTGATTTTAGCTATGTAAGCACCATAGTGGTACTTAGCAGGCTGTGGTCTTATAATGAAGGCAACTAGCACCTGTGCATACAAATGGGTAACTCCCCCAGCACCTCTGGATACCAAAATCCCAGGCTACTGAAACATGCAAACATCAGCATCTCACTTTGGTTTCGAGCTAGCCAGCCCCTTTACTGGAGTTTCCTAATGGTCTGAAGACTGCTCCCATTGTGATGGACTGCTAGAGACATTATAGGAGGAGGACAGGTCTCAACACTGCTAGGCCAGCAATTCAGGGCACCTGGGAATCTGTAGAAATCATGTGAATTTGTGTACTGTCATTTATAGATGTCTGCATTGTAATGCTGCAGCCTGCTTAGTACCTAATACGGGTCTGATTGTTTGTTTTATTTTTGTTTCACTTTTTAGAAAGGATAAAATGTGTAGTTGCAGATTAGTAGCCTTAAAGTGACCCTGTCACCAACTTAAAAATCCCACTCTCACTTCTTGTGCATCATAGCCTTCTTTTCTGAGAATATCTTAACTATTCTCTATGCTGACCTAGCATCTCCACCCTTCCCCCTACCTTCCTAACCTTTTATGTAGTTTTTATGTAGCTGTTGGGAAAGGAGCAAAGTTGAATACAATGGAGCAGGGATAAGCAAAGTTTGTCCCTCCAGCTGTTGTGGAACTTCATATCTCATGAGGCATTGCAAGACCCACTACAAGCTTGAATCCCAAAGCAGAGTCATGATGGGACTTGTTCTGCAACAACTGGAGGAACGAAATTTACCTACCCCTGCTAGAGAGAGTCACTTGAGTGATGGTTCAGAGTCTGCTGGAGCCACTGACATCACATCCAAGATAGTGGTGCCCAGCAGTAGTCTCTAGATTTTTTATTTTTTTTGGATGTATACATAAATGAAAATAACATGCATAACTACATTAAACCCACATATCTTATGGGAAGATTTGTTAAAACAAATGGCTGTCAACAGGGATGTCTTTAATCAGATTTGTTGTACAATGCATTACCCACTGCAGCAACAATAAGAACTGTATTTACATGCAGTTATATTTTAACATTCTGTAACCTGAAATAACCAAAAAGGACATTCCCTAAAAAGTTTGCTTTCCTTTAGGTCAGTAGGAAGAATAGGTAATAGTCATATGATTAGTCCCATTGAAAGTGACTTTGAATCTTGGGGTTAATTGCAAAGCTTAAAATTGTTTTTTAATATCACATCTTTTATAGCCCAGAAACAACCGTTGTGCCATTTGATGATCCTGTGATATTTTGATATGATCTTTAGTGGTGTATAGAAACTGACTACTTGCTTACTTTCAAGTGGTCCTATTCACTATAATAGAGCAACAATATTGAAATGTATAGCAGATTTTTGTAATATAAGACTCGACCTACTTATTTGACACAAGAATTTCAACCATTTTTGTTTTTAGTTTTCATTATCGTTTGTTGTAGATAAGTAGCCTAGCGAGTCTTTATTCTGCAGAACGCAAATCAGTTTACCACTTTATAGTAATTTACATATAGTTACAAATTAAGTTTGCTATTATTGATTTTAGGAAGTTATGTTTGGGGTGAACTGCGTTTTTATGATGATGGCAGCATATTTATTTAGTTGCAAAATAAATTGAAGAAATACTTGTTTCATTGTGCATTAATTTCAGAAGTTGGCACCCAGCGTAATTAACAATTCAGTGTGTATTTATGTATGTTAAAAAAATAAGTAAATATACATTGGTGTAGTTTAGTTTCTTTGGGTACAGTCTCATTTTGCTTCCTTGGAAATCCAGGGGGAAGGCAAATACAGAGAGGAGCCTTCTGATCTGCGGCAGGATATTGAGCGCCGCAAAAAACATAAGGACAAGCGTGACCATTCCAGGGACTCTGGAGATTCTCGAGATTCCAGTCGATCCAGAGAGAGGTCACCTGAAAAACCAGAGAAGACAAGGAAGTCCTCAAAAAAACACAAGTATGTGAGACTAAAAGTTGGTTATTTTCAGAACTTCTGCTTACTTTGCTTTTAATGGTGGGCTGCCACGATCTCAGAGGATGGTGTTGACATGCTGCAATGTATGTGATGTGCGTTTCCTTAGGACCTTGGGTTGCTGTTGTAAACGTACAAATGCATGGTGTGTTGGTATATAAAAGCAGCTCCTCTGAATGGATAGATGTAAATTGACCCTTATACTTGGCAACGTCCCAGAATAATTTAGTTGCTAGAACAATTTTTTTGTGCATTAGTAAATTAATAAAAGGTATAACAAAAATGTTTAGCTTTTTCAGTGAATTGAGCATTTACACCAAAATATCAACATGTAATAAATGGCATTGGTGTTTTATATGTTGCAGAAGTGTCTTAGGAACCAATTTTAGTGTAATTGATTGTAATCGTGTTATTATGAAATCTCTCAGGTGCATGGGTGTTTATGGTATGGAAAGTAATTTCAGTGAATTATCCTATCCTAACTACTTCGTGCCTAGGGGTAAAACAAATCTTAACGCCTAAGCACAATTTTGCAACTTTGACGTGTGTTAGCAAAATTGTACATATCACAACTACTTTGTGCATCCAGGTGGATTATACCTTTTTTTTTTTTTCAGGACAAATTGTGCTTTCATTTGTTGGTAAATGGTAAGGATATATCCTGGGTTTTTTTTTCTATTACCAAAGGAAAACTGGCCCAAAATAGTGAAAAAAAAAAAAAAAAAACCTATAATAATGTCTCCTGTTCCTGGCGATCGCAGTGATACCACGTGTGTGTATGTTAATTGTTGTACCCATAGTACAACCCAGAAACAATAGTGCACAATTTGCGCTTTGTTTGTTTTTTTTTTTTTTTTATCCCACCACTAACTGATACTAATTTGAAAATGTAAAAAAAAAAAACCCTGACACCCCCCCCCCCCCCCCCAAGAAAAAAATACTGACCTTGACCCAAACACTAACACTGGCACAGACCTAGATCTAGAACTAGGTATTTTTGTTTATTTTTTTTTTTTTAATTATTTCACACACTTGGTATTTTTTTCCTTTCTGAAAGCACAGATACACAATGCATCTCTCTCCTCCATTCAGAAAGAGAAAACAAGGGGGGTAGGCTTCACAGTGACTGCTCACTTTGATAGCCAATCAGAGGCTATCACAGTGATCAGTGACCTGGATTGGGAGTTCCGGGTCCTGATAATTAAAACGGGACCTGGGGCTCTCAGTGACACACCGGTGTTTGTGCTGGGAGCGCACTATGCGGCATGCTCCCAGCAGAAATACAGGCACTCAACCTCATGGCCCCACGGAACAAAGCCCAGTTCTATGAGGCTGCTGATTTGCGTGCAGTCGCTGTCAAGGGGTTAAGATACACAACACTTCTCCCCCCCCAGGGTTTCAGTGCTGTTCTGAGCCAGCAACCTGGTTTAACCACTTGCCAATTGTGCTATAGCCGAATGACGGCTACAGTTGTCCAGTTCTGGGAGGGTGTCATATGACGTCCACCCGAAACGCGCCCTCCTGCGTGCCCCCAACGTCCTACGGACACAGCTGATCACGTGATGTGGTAAAAGGCCAATCACAGTGGCCTTTTACCAAGTGATCAGCTGTGTCCAATGACACAGCAGATCACCGAGTAAACGCAGTTGCTGGTTATCGGGTGCACTTTTCTCACGCTGTCACAGCGTGAGGAAAGTACTGTCGATAACCGGCAATTGTCCGAAAACAGATCGGCACTGATCATCAGGGCACTGATGATCAGTACCGAGCACTGCCACCCACCTGTGCCCATCAGTGCTGCCTCATCAATGCACATCAGTGAAGGAGAAAAATGACCCGTTTGCAAAATTTTATAATAGAAACAAACTTTTTTTTTTTCTCCAAATTTTTCTCCGTTTTTGTTTATAGCGCAAAAAATAAAACACCCAGTGGTGTTTACATACCACCAAAAGAAAGCTCTATTTATGTGAAAAAATATTAAAAATTTCATATGGGTACAGTGTTGCATGACTGCAATTGTCATTCAAAGTGCGACAGCGCTGAAAGTTGGCCTGGGCAGGAATGGGGTATAAGTGCCCGGTAGGCAAGTGGTTAAAAAGTATTAACAGACAGGTGCTGTAACAGAGTAGAAGAGACAGTTGATTTTTTTTTTTCTTCCTGTTAGTTAATTTTAGCAGGAATGTTCTAAAGTGTACAAAAACTGTGTGTGCCCTAGAATATTGCTACTGTTAATTTGGGGCGTCTATGGTCACCATATGTTGACTACTTTTAAATTTATGCAGTAAATACACTGTATTTGTATGTACTTTGTGTATATCTGTTGATGGAACAATATAGGATGTATCTACGTGCATGATTCTTATTTAATGGAAATTATTTCCCTATGCCACGTCTATGGGTGTAACAGGATTGGCAGTGTCTCTGAAAACCATGAGTGAAAAGGTATTGAACACTTGTGGAAAATCTATAAATATTTTGTTTCATGGACATCTAGTGGTATTTTTTTTTTTTTTCCTCAACAGGAAGCACAGGAAAGTGCGGGAGCGTTCTCGTTCTTCCTCTTCTTCCTCACGTTCCTCCCATTCCATGCGAGCACCACCGGCAACAGAAGAATTCCCTGCTGAAAGCGAGGATAAAGAGGAGAGCTCTGCACGTTTAGGAAACAAGGATTTCCAAGGAGCCAGTGATAGAGGACGAGCAAGGGGAACCTTTGTAAGCTGTTAATTTCATCCAGAGTAGTGGAATGATAAGACTGCACTGGAAAGTGAAGAATATTGTTTAAATATAATGGCTCTTAATTTGTTTGTAGTTGGTATTCTGAAAAAAATTTCAATAGCATTTCTAACTAAACCAAGCTTCAAATCAAGTAAAGCTGGTGTATACATATATTGAAATCTGTCTGGTTCAGCAGGAACCACCCAAATTTTGGTACCTTTTAGCCCTGTCTGTTCAACAGAAGCCGATTTGTATTCGCCACTGTTAGAATACAATAGTTTTAACAACAACAGTCAACAGCTGGAACAAAAAAATGAGTCCTGTGGGTCGCTGGGATTCTAAATATTCCATATCCAGATCTGAACTCATCAGTTGAGTTTGTTATAGAAATGAGTAACGTTGTTTGTGTTATTACTGGAACGTAAGGACCCGTTCACACATGAGGTTTGGGAGGTGACAAAAGCTTCAATCCATATGTGGATTGCTGTTCAGAGAGCACTGCTAGTTTGAACGAGCTGTTAACCAGCAAGGTGCTGTTCTAGAGGTGCTGGGAAATGGCAATTAAGCTCTTCTAATATTGATGCCTGGTAAATACCAGACACCTTATGAGGATGTGGGTTAAAAGGAATAAAAAAAAATACCCACGTAGCAAGAAAAACAATAGAGCCTTCCTAAAACAAAATGTGTTTGCACGTCTCAATTTCCTTACAGATTTTTCGCCATTTCATACAAACCATTAATTTTGTGTTTTTTTTTGGCCAAGTGCACATCCACAACCACTGCTTTGCAGTACTCATGCAGCGTAATGGTATAGAACCTTTTATGCCAAAGTGCTTAGAGCTGTCTTGGGCTAGTTTAGTCATCATTGCATTATATGGAAACCTAGGCTTTTGCGGAGTAGGGCTTGTGGACCAGCACGACAGTACAAGCAGACACTGTATGGCCAGGTGCACTAAAAGGAATAAAAAAGCCCCCACTTATTGTGAAACATAGTAAAGCCTAACTAAAACAGATGTATTTGCAGTGCTCAGTCAAAGATCCAAAAAACAAGGGCTTTATTGGTCCATTATAGGATAGTAGGTGCAAATCCTTTATTTAGCGCACCTAACCATAACATATTGTGTTGTCCCATTGCGTTGAGCTTTCAAAATACAGTCCCAATTTAAAAAAGTTAGGCTGCTGTGTAAAATCTACATAAAAACAGAATTTAATGATGATGCAAAAATGTTGGAACAGGGTCATGTTTACCACAGTGTAGCATCCCCTTTTCTAATTCCACTCTGTAAACGTTTGGAGAACTGAGGAGACCGGTCGCTGGAGTTTTGGGAGAGGAATGTTGTCCCTTTTTTGTCTGATATAGAATTCTAAATGCTCAGCAGTCCTGGGTTTTCCTTGTATTGTCCGTTTCAAGATTCATCATATATATTTTCAACTGATGGGAGGTTGGACTGCTGACAGGCCAGTTAAGCACCCGGATTCTTCTACTACAAAGCCATGTTGTTGTCATTGAGGTAATATGCAGTTTAGCATTGTCCTGCTGACATATGCAAGTTCTTTCCTGAAAGACATCATCTGGATGGGAGCTTCTTTAAAATCTGGATATATTTTTCACTATTAATGGTGCCTTTCCAGATTTTAGATGTGCAAGCTGCCCATTCCATATGCACAAATGCACCCCCATACCATCAGAGATGCAAGAATTTGAACTGAGCACTGATACCATGCTGGAAGTCCCCTTTCTTTAGTTTGGAGGATGTGGCACCCATGGTTACCAAAAATGTAAAATTTTGATTAGTCTAACTACAGAACAGTTTTCCACTTTGCAAAAGACCATTTTAAATGAGTTTTGGCCTATAAAAGATGGCTGTGTTTCTGGATCATGTTCAGATATGGCTTCTTCTTAGCCTGATAAAGCTTTAACCTACATTTTTGGATGGCACAGTGAACTAGCTTGAAACGGCTGTATGTAGTTTGAAGTTATTGGCTTTATAATAGGCTGGATCTATACTATAAAACCACAGTTCTGACTGTACAGTTGGCCACATCAACGAATGATTTGAAAGGCCCTATGCACTATCCTAAAATCCTATCCTAAAATATTGAATTAAGTCCTTATTTTTTGGATCGGTGACCAAAGCAAGACTTTGCAGGTACTTTCTAGTTTAAGAAGGCTCTGTGTTTCAGTAGTTTTAGAAAATTACATTTGACGTAAATTATAGAGTAGTTTGTGTAGTGGGTATTTTTTCATTTTAGCAAAGGTGTTCTTTAAGAATTGCAGCAGAACATGTCTACAGAGATGCAGATGTTTTCTATGTGAATTTAAATTTGGAATGTGTCCCCACAGCAATACAGGACCAGAGGGACAAGACCTTGGGGCAGAGGTGCATTTCCAGGAAATAACAACAACAACAATAATGATTTCCAGAAACGAAGCAACCGGGAAGAGGAATGGGATCCAGAGTATACACCCAAAAGCAAAAAGTATTACCTGGTAAGTATACTTCCATTAGTTTTGATAGTTGAATTAGTGCACTTTTTAGCCGCTAGATTATTATACATTCAAGACCTCTCCCCGGTACCTGTGCCTGGGAACAGAGAGCAGTGTGACAGAAGCCATTTATTTCTATTCAGTTTGTCATCTTTTCTCTTACTTGACCATTGCTGCCTGCAAGATGGTCCTTTTATTTGACATCTTTACCTAAACTGTCACGTTAGACTATAGAGAAAAACATTTTTTTTCTTTAGTAGCTTGTACATGGTCTTTCCAACTTCATTCAGATTCAGCACTCTAATCAGTTCTGTGCTCATTATGAAAGTAGAATTGGAAAGTTTCAAAGTGTTGCAAAATATAACAATTTTTTTTTGAAGAGGGCTATTTTTTTTAATAGAGGTTAATTTTGCACATGTTAAACAGCTTAGGATAAAAGATCATGTTCCCATTTTGCGTGTTATAGCAGCATGTTCATTTTCAGGTGCGGTGGTAAACAAAAGACCAGTGCATTATGTGGAGGCGCCCATACATTACAGTGACAATCAGTATCCCGACACCGTCTTGATCCATTCTCATCTCTCTGCAGCATGATGACCGGGAAGGGGAAAACGAGGACAAATGGGTGAATCGTGGGAGAGGCCGTGCCAGTTTCCCTCGAGGAAGGGGCAGGTTCTTATTTCGAAAGCCCGGCACCAGCCCCAAGTGGGCCCATGACAAGTTCAGCGGGGAGGAGGGAGAAATAGAGGAAGACGAGAGTGGAGCAGAAAAGGATGAGAAAGGCAGCTTGCAAATGGATTAGCCAGATTTCAGATTCTAACATTGGACTCTTTCCTACAACCCTTTACATAGGATATTGTGATCTGCTGATATTTTTCCACTTAATCAAATAGTTCTCTATTGACAGATACTTGATTTTATATTTTTCACTCATTTGATTTGTATTTTTTTTTTTTTATTCATATGTTTGTTAATTTTGGTGAATAATATAAATTTAAGGGGATACTGTAGGTCTGGACCTTGACACATTTCCACTTCCCACCCAGTGTATGCATACATTTTGATCTTTTATTAAACCTAAATCTGATATTTGTGTGTAACTTCAACATACCATCCACAAAGCAATGTCATGTATCATTTTGTTATATTTGAATTCCTGTAAAGAATTCGTTTTCTTTTTTTTATTACCTGTACCTGTTTTAAGCTTGCTTAATACATAGTTAACACAGTTATGGTACCCTTTTTAGAGAAATATTTTGAGGCTTTTCCTTAAAAACGTTGAAATAAACGTTTATGGGTACAAACAATTGTGTGTGTTTTTTGTCAGAAAGTTTTCAATTTTACATAACGAGTTACTTTGTCACTTAAAAATGGGTACAAAATACACGGTTTTACTTTCATTTGTACTTTTGGCATGTACAATGATCACAATTTCAGAAAACTACAAAAAAACACTAACCTACCCTTGTCAAACACACAGTGTATTTCCACTTTTACAGTCACATTTGAGAAAAACCCATTATGTTTATGTTCACATTCACACAGCATACCTAAAAATGTTAAAAAAAAACAAAACGAACAAAAAAACCCTAACTTTTCTCTGTGAGGCCACTGGCAACAACAGACGCTAAGTTTCCCCTCATTAACATACCATTGTACGTTAGAAGCCCAGTTTCTAGATCTTTATCCCTTTGTTAGGACAGAACAAGTTAAAGGTAAGCAGCAATTTTTGTTTATACTTGTTATATTTCTCATTCACATAGCATAACTTAAAGTAAAATGTGTTACTCCAGTTTGACTGCAAAAGTGGAAATGCCCTTTTAGGTAGACGTAAACCCTAAATTACATTTAGCGCAGTGCCATTTGATACAATTTGTAAGCAAAGCTCTGATCCGGAGATTGAACCACCACATCATTATATTAAATTGGTTCACAGCTTAACTTACATAAAACAGAATAGAGTGAAACCGCCTTTTTTCCCCTAACAATTTTCAAGCTAGAACAAAAATTCTCAGCTCCCACAGCGAAAAGTGAAGGCAGGGGAATCTCATAAACATATATGAAATATACTGGTAACATCTGTGAACTTAGAAAAATGTCCTGCCCACAGTTTGTATAAGTGCTAAGCTTTCGAGCCTGCACAGTAATTAACCACTTGTCCACTGTCCAATAGCAGAAGTACTGCTACAGGGTGGTAGGGCTGTGCAAAATAATGTACATATATGTGATTTGCATTTCCGGTAGGGGGCGCTCGCGTGCAGCTATTGGCAGCTAGGAAGTCAATTACCAGGTCCCCGCCAGTGATTCCCGGCTGGCACTCCGGCGATCATCTGTGAAAGCTAATTTACAACAAAGGTGCTACAAGTTTTTGTTTTATTTTTTTTCTATAAGCACACAGCTTGGCTTTGTCTTTTTTGGGATCTTTAATAGTTACATTAGAATCAGCTAGAAAGGTTAGATAGGGCTTGTCTTCAGACAAAGTGTATAGACAATTAAATTATTTACACATTTCTAAGTATTGAAGCTAAGCTTTAGCGTGGCAGCTATACAACTAGCATTTTCAGAAGGTCAGCAATAACAATCTCAGTTTTATGGCATATTTCCTTTATGAAAATCTTCTAGGAAAGGTGTACACATACTTTAGATGTTTCTACACACCAGAGCTAAGCCTTGATCCCAAATGTGTAAAGAAGATCTTGATTCCAGATTTTGAATCACTGACAAAAATGTGACTGACAGCTTGAGCAATTTTGCAAAGAAGAATGGGCAAAAATGTCACACTCTAGATGTGCAAAGCTGGTAGAGACATACCCAAAAAGGCTTGCAGCTGTAATTGCAGCAAAAGGTGATTCTACAAAGTATTGACTCAGGGGGGCCGAATACAAATGCATGACACACTTTTCAGATATTTATTTGTAAAAAATTTTGAAAACCATTTATCATTTTCCTTCCATTTCACAATTATGTGCTACTTTGTGTTGGTCTATCACAGGGGTCTGCAACCTTTAAGACATAAAGAGCCACTTGGACCCGTTTCCGAGAGGGAAATAAAGACTGGGAGCCGCAAAACCATTGCAACATTTAAAACAAATCGGACACTGCATATATTGCGAAAAGCGCTCTGGTCATGAAGGGGGTTTAAGGGCCCAGTAAGCAAAGGGTTAACCAGGGCCACAGTGTATCGTCATAATCACAATCATAGCCTTAGGTCAGTGGTGGGCAACCTTTTTTTTTCAACTGAGCCAAATCTCGCCAAAACCACGATTGAAATTTATTTTGAGAGAAACATTTTTAAAACTGAAAATACATCCCCCATATAGTAATTCATCCCCCATATAGTAATTCATCCCCCCATAGTAATTCATCCCCCCTATAGCAATTCATCCCCCCTATAGCAATTCATCCCCCCTATAGTAATTCATCCCCCCTATAGTAATTCATCTCCCCCATAGTAATTCATCTCCCCCATAGTAATTCATCTCCCCCATAGTAATAGTATCATCTCCCCCCATAGTAATTCATCCCCCATAGTAATTCATCCCCCATAGTAAATATATAGTAATCATCCCCCATATAGTAATTAATTCATCCCCCATATAGTAATTAATTCATCCCCCATAGTAATTCATCCCCCCTATAGTAATTCATTCCCCCTGTGTCAATTCACTTACCTTTGCTCCGCGCGTTCCTCTAGCTGTGTTCCCCAGCGCGCCGTTCCGGTCTTCAGGGCGGACTGTGAGAGGAGAGGAGTTCGTCACGCTGCCCCGCCTACATCCTGACAGCCAATGTTTGGAGGAGGGAGGGGAGGGGCGGGCCCCGGCACATAGAAGAGCTGCATTAAAAGAGCCGCGGCTTGCCGACCCTATTGCCTGTCACCTGGTGGGCAGTGTGCTCCGGAGCCGCAGGAAAAAGTGAAAAAGAGCCGCGGGTTGCCGACACCCGGTCTATCACATAAAATCCCAATAAAATACATTTACCTTTTTGGTTGTAACATGACAAAATGTGAAAAATTTCAAGGGGTATGAATACTTTTTCAAGACCCTGTACAGAAGTATAACATGCAGCAGTAAAAATTAATTATGAAAAATTTGCTGTAAATATAGAATCTACACTAATCAAGCAAGGTGCTGATTAGGGAAAAGCAGACTACATAGATGTTTTACTAATCTAAACATCAAGGAAGATCTTTAACTGTAGTTTTAGCTGAACCAGACGAATTTCAATCCATCTATGGTCAGCTTTAGACGTAATACAGTCAATGCAACCACATGCTCATGACGTTTGTTATAACACTGACTGCTTAGGGATAAAGCAGACCTCTGTTGAAATAAATAGTAACGTTTACATGAGATTCCAAAGAATTCTTGCAATGCAAAGTTTTGGAGGCATTTTTGTTTCTCAGCTAAACTGGCATTTTATTGTAGCACAGCTTCTGTAAGGATCAAATGTGCTTGCTTTTGCAGAATTACATAAATAGTATACTGTATTTTTCGCTCCATAAGACGCACCTAGGTTTTAGAGGAGAAAACCAAGAAAAAAAAATTCTGAACCAATGGACTGCAGACATAGTACAGGAGATGACCAGAGACTGCGGACAATACAGGGGATGACCAGAGACTGCAGACAGTACAGGGGATGACCAAGAGACTGTGGCCCTTTAGAGAGGGAAGGGGAATTTGAGAGGTACCCGCTCCCACTTCCGCGGAGTTGTCCTCCCTTTACTATGGGCACCTGCCTGTGACAGCTGGGTTCCCACTGCGCATGCGCGAGAAGCGCTGCACATTGTGAATGGCCCGGCGTCTTTTGGGACCTGTCGTGTCCCAGAAGACGCTGGACCATTCACAAAGCACAGCGCTTCATGCGCAGTGGGCACCCGCCTGTCACAGATGCCGGGGCGGGAAGAACCTGGCGTGGGAAGACTTCGCAGTGCTGGACCGAGGAACAGGTAAGGTCCTGCATCAGAGAACAGCTGAGCGGTCGGCCTGGTATTCTGACATGGTGGC